TTAATAATAATTGTAATTATTACAATTCACTATTATTTAATTTCCGTAGTCAATATTTCTAATTGGCTGATAATCGTTCGAAATGCAGGTAATATTTAATATTTATATTATGGCTAGGTACCAAAATTCTTATGAAACATTCATTCATTCGTATGAATGTACGCCCATACGCGTATGCACAAGTCAATAAACACGACAAAAATGCTTTTGCTCCGGATGTAATGCAGAAATTTGATGCAAATAGTACCAAAAGAGAAATAAAAATTCTAAGGATGGGTCGATACTACTTTTTACCGATACCCGATATTATAATCACAAGTAAAAACAAAGTTGATTTTTAATATATTACATAAAAAAATCAACTTTTTTGTCAAAAACCATGAACCGATACTAAAATTAATCCGATTACGCAAACCGATAAAACCGATATTACATAATATTAGCATTAAATTATTTTACTGTGGCCCACCACACAGTACTGTCGATATAGGGTGAATAAAATATTGTTATTATTGGTAATATTAATGTATTTTATACTGGTGGTTCTTTTTTTTTTTTTGTGGGTATCGGTTGAAATATCAGTTTTGAAAATAAACCGATAACGATATTTCCGATACCACCAATATCGGCCGATACCAAATATCGGTTCTAACCACTACTCGTTACCCACTCCTAAAAAATTCACCTTGTTTTGATAGACTTATATTAATTTTGAAATGATGATTGTATTTGTGAGTCTATTTTCTAGGTTTACTCGGAAATAGATTTACGACTTTATTTTTTATTAATAAAATATAATACATAGTAAGTTTATATTTTTCTCAACACTTATAATTGATTTAGAACGAAAAGAAAAATATTAAAATCCACTTCCCAGCAAACTTAGAAAAGAGAAATACAAATCAAATTTAGTTTTCATAATTTATATCGAGTTAAACGTATGTAAAAAAAAATGGTTGCTCCAGCACCCTTAATGTTTAGTCGAATACATTTGAACTTTTTCTAATATCTAATAAACCGTCAGTCTAATCGATTTTGTACCCATTTTAAAAAAATGATAAACGAATTAAGTTTGTCCGGATTCTAAAGTGAGGAAGAAATCCGGACGTTTAAAATTATATGGTTCATTTTACAAGAAAAACGTTATTCGTTTTAAAGCATTTAACCAGGAGAACGTTTTGAAGTATTACGTTCTTGAACATTTAATAAATAGAACATTTTAAAGTAATACCTTGCCATTGTTGAAAAAAAAATGCTATGTGATGAGCGTAATCGAGATATACAAACGAGATTTCTCAATGATCAAAATAATAATTCGATTATATACCCGAGAGATTATTTCGAGTGATAGGTATCTCGTTTATTTTAAAAACAATGAGTTCTTGATCTCGAAATGTGTATTGAATGAAAAAATGATTTTCGTGGAACGAAGGAGTGTGGGAGAAATACTATTTTAAATATTCATAATCGAATAAGTAAATATGTACTAGTTGTTCACTTTGAGTCTTTGTATTTTCGATTCGTGCTACTCGTGGGACTGGTTATTAGACAAATATTGATGGGTATATTCTTAGTTATTTATATTACCTATAGCTATAATTTTTGAATTACTCAACCACAAAACAACAAAAATTTCTCAGAGCGTTTATAAATAAAATTATATTATACTTATTTTTATATATATTATATTTCAATTGAACATTTCGAATGATTATTTCGAGACATCTCTCGATTAAAAAAATGTCTCGAATACGAATAATTCGATTATGCCCATCACTAATGTAAACGTTTGTAACTTGTAAAACGGAGATAACACATATTTTCTCTTAATTTCTATGTTTTTTGGAAGGTGAGGATATTATATTATTATCCCTTATCGCTGTTATGAAATAATTTATTTTTATTTAGTTTCATTGAAATAAATTCCAAAAATCAAAATGTTTCATCGTTTTTACAATAGACTACTAATAATTCATGATCAGGGCTCGGAAGTTCCAGCAAATGCATATTTTTTTCGGTTCGTCCTAGAACATCTAAAGTAAGATACAAATATGTTTCAAATTACTCGGATATCATAGACAAAATTTAATTTTGCTATTTTCTGCATTTTTATGGGTTTTATTGCTATTTTGCTAGTTTAGGGTGGTTTATAGTGCTATTTTTGGTATATTTTCATATAATACAGTAATTAATCACGCTTTGTTGATAATAATGGTATTTACTCGGTTATATTTTTAAAAATATTTGAATAATTGGAAATAAATAAACCTCATCAAAATTTATTTTTTGTTTTTATCGACAATTTGATGCATTAATAGTTAGCGGCGTCATTGTTATTCTCTTATTGTATCATTGCATTAGAATCTAATGCAATGATACAATAAGAAAAAGTGTAACAAAAAAGTGTAATAAAAATATACTTGCATCTCACTGTTTCCTTCATAGAGAAGCCTTATTAGCAAAAACTATCGGTCCTCAGTTAAAAAATGTTCTTGATGAAGTGGTAAAAATGGTAAATTTTATTAAAATGAGACCATTAAAAACACGACTTTTTTCTTTATTATGTGAAGCAATGGAATCACAATTTACTAAACTTATTTTACATACAGAAGTACGATGGCTATCTCGTGGTAAAGTTTTGTCCAGAGTACATGAGTTAAAAAATGAACTTATCGTGTTTTTTACTCTTGAAAATGTACCCGAATTTTGTGAATTATTAACGAACGAAAAATGGTTGGAAAAACTATCATACTTGGCAGACATATTTTCACACTTAAATCAAATAAATTCAAGTATGCAAGGACCAAATGAAAATATATTGGCATCATGTAGTAAGTTATTTACTCTTAAAGATAAATTAAAAATCTGGAAAAAACGTGTGCAAAAAAATCAATTTGATATGTCTCCTTCATTATCTGTAACAGAAGAAAGTTCCGAAGTTATGACATTTATAATGGAGCATTTGACTGCCTTAGAAGAAAGTATAGACGAGTATTTTCCTAATTTAGATATTTCCAAGTATGATTGGATAAATGATCCATTTGATAAAAATATATGTTTAACTGAATTTAGCCTTGAAGAAGAAGAAGAGCTCGCTGAAATACGAAACAATCGAACTCTTTTATAAAAATACAAAAATGTTTCATTAAATGAATTTTGGATTCAGGTTGAAAATATTCACGCTGAAATTGGCAAAAAAGTTCTAAAAATATTACTGCAGTTTTCGACATCATATTTATGTGAACAAGGATTTTCCACTCTTGTTAACATAAAATCAAATAAACGAATGAAAATGGAGTTCATTGAAGAAGAAATGAGAGTATGTCTTTCAACTATTCGACCACAAATAAAAGATTTGTGTAAAAAAAAACAAGCCCAAGTGTCACATTAGTTCCAATAATAAATAAATAAATAAGTTTCCTAATTTTAAATTAAATAATAAATAATAATTAAAAATAAAAATAAATACAATGTAATAATTTATTTATTAAATGTAATATGTATATAGTATGCACCTACACCTTACTACTTTTGATTATACTTATGCATTAATAAATAGAACCGAAGCAGTCTATAGAATATTAGAATATAGGCCATAGAGCACAGGGTGCCTCCGGATTTTTAGAAAATGTCCAAGGGTGCCGCGAGTCAAAAGAGGTTGGGAACCTCTGCATTAGATTATCAAACATTTTAATAATCCAGGGTAATATCCAATTTTATATAAAATAATTTAATTATAAGTACACTTTTACAAGTACATGCAATTAATTTAACATTTTTGTTGACAGTTTATAACTCAACAGTCCAGACGTTTATGAGCCCAAAAATTTGTAAAATTACATTTAATTTTTTTTCCTAGTAAATTAAAAATTTTTTCTAGTTAAATGCATATTATTTTATTTTTCGTGCTATCTATAGCGCATATTTTAGAGTTTTTAAGTGCATAAATAAGAGCTAAAAAGTAAAATGTTTAGTGGTACAACTTCCGAGCCCTGTTCGTGATATAATATGTCTGGTATGCCGGAATCGGACATTTCGCCGCCGTTCATTTCACCATGATATGAAATCTGTACCCCTGTTAATTGGTTCACAGATAATATTTGTTATAATATGAAATCAAATGTTTGGATTATTGTATTTGGTACATTCTATCTATATAATACCTACGATGTCATAAGTTGTGATAAATATGATTAATAAATATTAAATATTATTTTTACTCTGACTGGTGAGTACTGAGTATGAGAAAATAGTCTCATAATAAGATTATGTAGACAATTGGTTCCTATCAAAGAGCCACTCCAATGGAGCGGGGAAATAATACATTCTATAAAAATATCTATTTTTAAATATTTTTTTCTAAGTAATTATATTCCTAGTCGATCGATTATCGACCTCCAACATTTTTATGTTGGTCGCAAGAGTATCATTTTGTTACCACAAAATTATTTCTATAATTTAATAAAAAAAATTCGTCGACAGTGCGTATTTACTATTTAGTTATCATTAGGCGGTTAGTATAAAAAAAATTGTTATTGGTGAATTTTCATGTCATTGATAACAGTATTATTAACGGAAACAGTATTATAATGTGATTTTTTATTAGCCCACATAGCACCCTATTTGTGCTTATGGAAGAAGGTTAAAAATGTATAAAAGTGTTCGCTACCCCAAACATTTGCTGCTAGTTACGCCACTGGCTTACGCTGTGTTTATGCGTGTCAATTTATTGGCATTTACCATCTGCTACAAATTATAAATTATCATTGTTTTAAAAATGTATCTTAACGATACCGAATTAATTTGCGTCGCGGTAGCATTTGGATTGAACAAAAAAAAAAAAATCCCAAACAAAATAAAAGAAGACGTTGGATGAAAGAGTGGTATAAACAAAGAGCGTACTTTAATAATATATAAAAATATATTGTTATGTATGTTACGGTAGTCGTTCTATTACCGTAATATATATGTATTTATACTAACAACCTTTTTTTAATTCTTTACGAAAATTTGTTCTTAATGCATTCATTTTTTT